GCTCTCCCCCGCCCCGGCACAAGGCCGCTCTGACCCTCCTGGTGCTGCCCGTGGACCCTCCAAGTCGGGCACACTGGCGGGGCCGCCACTCCCTGGGGAGCGCGTGCGGGGATCTGTGCCGAACACGGGCGGGCTCGGCGGTGCCCGTGGGGACCGTGGCCGGCCAGCAGGGACGCATCTCGGCCCGCTGTCGTCCTGGCCACAGCATGTTCCGGGAATGACGAGGGCTGGCGGAGCGGGAGGAGAAACGGACCAGGCTTCTGGGAGTTAGTGACGCTCAGCGGGGCCTCTCAAGGCAGTCTATGAGGGCTGACGATTAAGTTCTCAAACTCGTTCTGGAAAGGGTGCTCCACCCCTCATCACTGGATTTCACTGTGGTCACCTTCGACGGCCTCCCCTCGGGAAGTGGGCACTGACATCAGTGACCAGTCCGTTCATCAGAGCCATGTTAGAACTCTTTTTCTGGAGTGGCCATCAGAGCTGTCGATGCAATCAGCCTTGACGTCCTGAATGCCATCAGAGTCTTCCTTTCAATACTGCCTTTGTCTTGGGCACAGAAAAAGGTCACTGGGACGAGGTCGGATGAGTAGGAAGGGTGTTCCAACACAGGTATGTGTTTGCTGGCTGAAAACTCCCTTGCCGTCAGTGCTGTGTGAGCCGGTGCACTGTCATGATGCAAGAGCTCCTTTGGGACTGTTTTTCACACACCTTTCCCATGCCAAGATTTTCAGTTAGGATCATCTTGTAGCCGGGCTCGGTGGCTCAGCCTGTCATCCCACGCCTTGGGAGGCTGAGGTGAGTGGATTGCCTGAACCCGCAGGTTCAAGACCCACCGGGGCAGGCGAGACCTCATCTCTACAATAAATAAAAAATTAGCCGGGCGTGGTAGCATGCGCCTGTAGTTCCGGCTACTCGGAAGGCTGAGGCAGAAGGATCGCCAGGGCCCAGCAGGTTGAGGCTGTGGTGACCGGGAACAGCCACTGCACTCCAGTTTGGGCAACAGAGTGAGACTTCAACTCCAAAAAAAATAAAAGATCATCTTGTTTCTCTATTGATGTTTATCGGCTATGCTTCTCACAGTCAGCCAACAATTTTGATGCATAATTGAACAAGTTTTTGCAATGTTTTCATCAGTTCTGCTCATTACTGGCCATCCTGTCCTCTTTTCATCAGTGACATTTGCTCTACCCTCAGACATTTAATCCATGTGTCCATTGCCGTTTTCTTCATGGCATTATCCACCTAAACTTGGACTAACATGTCCCTGATTCTACTTCCACTCTTGCCAAGTTAAATAAAAATTCGACCTCTGTTCGTTGCTCTAATTCACCTTCTGACATTCTCACAAGGACACACAAAAACACGCAGCAACCATAATGAACATTAGTCAGCAAGACACCGCCACACGTCAACACAAATACAGCTCTGAGACTCTGACACGCCAAGACTGAAACCTTCCCGAGTTTGTACAGTGCTGCCAATATCAGCACCTGGTGGCAAGTTTGGGAGCTTAATTGTCAGACCCCATACACTGAAAAGGCATAAGGAGGTGTGAGGGAAGGGTGTTCCTGGCAGAGGGAGTGGCATGTGCAGAGGGGTGGGGGCCTGGAGGCACTTGGCAGCTGGGCTGGGTGGTGAGGATCTTGGTGTGGCTGGAGGGTGGACTCGCACCCGTGGGAGCTCACTGAGAAACACAGTCAGGCCCCGCCCCAAAGGGTCTGACTCAGAGTCTGCGTTTCACAGGCTCCCAGGTGATCCACGCACAGGTGCAGTCTGGGGAGCCCTGGCCCTAAGGCGGCGGCGCCTTGCCGCTGGTGCCTGGAGGGTCCTGGGGTGGGGCTGGTGGGCTGTGGCAGCCTCAGCTGGTTTTCTGGGCAGGGAGTGTCTTGCTTCCTTCTGTGACTCTTGGAGCTGGCTCGGGCCCTGAGGCTGGATGGAGGGTGCCGCCTGCCCCTGGCTGCCCATGAGCCTTAGGCTGGCAGCTTCAGGGCTGGGTCAGTCCGGAGACCTGGCCTGGGCAAGGGAGGGAGGGTCCCCGGGTCCAGGAGAGGTTGGCCCACGGGGTGGGAGGGGCCCTGCCACTGTCTTGGAGACCCGGGGACGACCAAGAGGGGATTGTACAACGAGAATGTGGCACATCCAGAAAAATTCCAGCCACCCCAGGGGCAAAGCTTCTTTCCCTGGCGGGGGAGGTCCAGTCCGGGGGCTTCGGGACCGTCGGCAGCTGCTTCTCCCCAGCCCCAGGGGTTCTCGGGGCCCCCAACAAAAGCAGAGGGCGCCTGTCCGCTCAGAAGCGGCTTTCGGAAGGCCAGGCCCTGGGGAGGGCAGCGTGGCCACGCCTGGCCCATCTGCGGCCGCGCGGGGCTGACCCCTCATCAGCGCTTGGCCCCCGGGCTTTCCCAGTGGGGTTCCCCAGGTCTGTGGCCTCGCGTCCCGCCTCTCCCTGGCCCACGTCTGTCTGTCCAGACAGTTGTGGGGCGGTTCGAGGTGTGTCGCGTCCAAGGCCGCGGGGCTCCTGCTCCGAAAGCAGCCGCACGTCCTGAGCCCCCCCTGCGGCCGGCCCCCTCCCCCGGTCTCGTCGTCTGGGAGGCAGGCGCGTGGGCCCCGAAACGGCCCCGCGTCC